TTAATCCATTTTTGTCATCATGGCAGGAAGTATGGTGGCAGGCAGGCATGGTGCCGAAAAAGAGCTGAGAGCTCTACATCCAGATTCAAAAGCAGCAGGAAGAGCGAGCAACACTGGGCTTGGCTGGAGCTTATGATACATCTCTTCCAACAAGGCCACACCTCCTAATCCCTGTCAAGTAGGACCACTCCCCGATGACCAAGCATTGCAATCTATGAGCCTATGGAAACCATTCTTGTTCCAACCACCACATTCCTAGACATGCACAAATTTCAGAAGAAAATATGAAGTTTGGAAATGTCTTCAGAGGTTTTTCACACATCCAGCCCAGCCATCTCATGATGCACCTGAATGGGGGGGTGGGTGTCAGTAGGGCATGGCAGAGGGAATTGTCACCCACATAACCAGGCTAAGCAATGGGGGCGGGGGTGATACTTTTCCATTTCCATGAGCACAATACCCCAAGAAAAGCTCTGGAGAGTCTGCACCATGTGCCTGATGATGAAAAGGCAGTGGGTGTCCTCTGATCCCGCTTTTGAGAAAGGTCACCAGGTATCTCTCTCCCCTGTACAGACAGACTGCCCAGTCTGCCAGGACTCAAGGAAAAGAGGGCTACCCCCTTCCCTCTTCATCGAGAACAAACTGCCCTCTGGAGTGTGCTGCATGGAAGCCCAACTCAAAAGGCACACTGTGGGTGGGTGGGTGAGTGGCAGTATCCAGAAGCTTCCTCCAGGGGCTGTACAGAGGACACCTGCACAGGACAATGTGACCCTGATGACAAACACTGTTGTTTAACCACAGAAGGGAAGGGACAGTGAATGCACCTTTCCTCCTATGTGTGAGCAAATGGGATTTGTCATTGATCACAGAGCACTCAGGTGGTGGCTGGAGCAAGAGAGGCCTCCGAGTACATTTATAAACAAGCTGAGAAAGCTGTGTTGCAACTGGGTATTTGATTTTGCTATGGAATTGTTACCCCTTTTTAAAAACCTGATAGTGCTCTTTTAATTACTTTTTAATTCTTCAAGTCTCTATTAAAACAGATGGAAATATATGGAACCCATGGTTTACTCCCAAACAACACAAGGTAGGAACAGAGTGAAGGATATTAGATAAAACAACCTGGGAGGTGATATTTCTAAAACTAGTAATGGGTATATGAGGAGATGGGCCAATATACTCTTCTTCTGTAGATGCTTCAGATTTCCCTTAAAAACTAAATCATCCTGGTCCCCAAGGTCTGTTTTCCAATACATCCCATGCAATGTCCAGCTGTAATAAAAAGAGCTGCCCTCTATGACCTGGAACATACTTCTAGTGATGGGGGAGGAGGAATGGAGTTTTCCCCACTCCGTGGTGTAGGAGAAAGAAATGGCATGGCCTCAGGATGCAGCCAACTCCTCATGGAACTGGAGATAACAGCTCCTGGGCCTAGGAAACTGGTCAGCTTTGGACTCACTAGCACAGACCCCTAGCATATGCAGAAGCAAAAGGAGACAACCAGCAGGATTCAGCCATATTGCATCTGCTTGAGTAGGTCCCCACATTTATTAGAGCTCTGCCTTCCTCGTTTGGAGACCCAAGAAGATAGCCTCAACCTGCCTACCTGTAAGGATGTACCTGTCAAGTGAAGAGGGCCTTGTAGGGAAAGTGGAAAGGGGGTGTAAGAGCACAGATGTTGAGCTCCACAGAAGACAGCATCTTGAAATATTAATAAGAAATTCCCAAAATAATTCTTATATTTTAAACTGTGCATCACTCTGAGTCACATGGTGAACACTCACGCTATTCAGTGCCATCCAGCTTGAGGCATGAAAGGTCACTATGTACAGTGTATCCACATTATATAAGCTACCCACCATATGGCAGTGAGAGAGAAAAAACATATCCTTATCACTTTTATGACAGCACTGTTATAACCATTCTATCTTATTATTAGTTATTATTCTTAAGTTTCTTCTCACCTGATTTATATCATAGGCACACCTGTCCAAGAGAAAGCACATTAAATATGTAGGGTTGGGAATTATCTGCAGGTTCAGGCATCTGCTGGAGAGGGGGTGGTCTTAGATCCAACCCCTCCCCAATAATGAAGGATGACCCTGTTCAAATCTCAGCCCTGCTTCATATCAGCTTTGTGGTTCAGGCAAGCTTTTCCATTTCTTCTGCCTCAGGGTCCTCTTCCACAGTAGACTGTTTCAAAGATTCATTGAGTTAATAGATGTAGGCAACTAAAAACAATACCAAGCTTTGTTTAAGTTATTCGTGTTACTGCTCTATAACAGTGTGCTGACAAAAGATGCCAACATTGTTAGAAAAGCCTTAGTATGTCATACTAGAAGGAACTTGAGAAGTGACTTATTCCCAGACCCACCTTTCAGAAGCACAAAAAGGTAACACAGCACCTGAAACCACGTGACAATTTAGTGACAGATCTGAGAATACATGTCCACTATCTATCCCGCCACATCCATCTACTAAACAGGTGTTTCTACATAAAGATGACCAGTCTATGTTGCATGCCTAATTCAGAGTCTCATGCTAGATCCGGAGTCTGAAATCTTACTGGGTTTGCAGGGAAGGAGGTCCAAGTGAGCTGAGGAGAATTGCCTGTTCTGTGATCATCCCTGGTCCCTTGACAATGGAGGACAGACAGCTGAGGTTGCCCCATGTGACCTTTTCCTTCCTTGGTTTGTTCCCAGAATGGGCAGTCCTTCCAATACTGCCCCTCAGAATTATCAGCCACCACAAAAACATTTCCAAGGCAATGGTGCAAGCTGCCCTACTTACCATTAAGAGAAAGGACCACATTATTGCTGTTATAAACCATTGATTAAGGTTTATAATAGCAATAATCCCCTCGAAATTCATTGTTACTGCAGTTAATGACCAGTTTATTAGAGCGTTAACCATCCTTGGCAATGGGCTGAGTCGTTTAATGTGGGTAACGACCAATTTCTCAAGGATTATTGCTTAAATAACAATTCTTTGTGAGATGTGTGAGCCACCACAAGGTGCGGCTCCGGCTGGAAGCTTCTCCTCTGAAATAATTGTTAATTATTTCCTCAGAACGGCACCACACAGCATCATATCTCACGAGTCCAAAGAATGAATTTCTTGTGGTGTGTAGCAGTGAGTCAAAAAGTTGGACCCAACCTGAGTCATAGGTGGGAACTATGCCCTTCCAAGAGAGAGTCAAAAATGGAGATACCACCCAGATATCCTTAGGCCTCCCAAAGAAAAGCAATGTTGGGACGCTGTATCCAGTTTAGACTGCTCCTTTCTTTCCCCAGGGCATCATTGCGAGGATCTTCTGCCTACTCATGTCCCCAACTCACCCTCTTGTCATGTGGGAGAAAACAGAGACAATCGGGAGACCTGGGAAAAGGCTGAAGAACAGGAAGCATGACAAAGCCAACATCTTGCAAGTTTGGAACTCTGAAGCAAGTGTTCCCCTGCTCTACCTGGCCACCTAGGCCCCGGGAGACTGGGAATGATGAGGTTGTGAGCCCGGGATGGTATCCGCCAGCTCCCATGATGCTAACGGATGTCCTTGGTAGCCACCAGGCTTCGGAGTTTCCATTTGTCCTTGTTCCGGGCAGACCAACCTAACTGGGGACCGCTTTACTTGTGTGATTGCTTGGCTTGGGCTCTGAGAAGTCACAGTACTATTAAATGTAATGGCAGAGCTGAGGACCTTCCAGTCACTACGTACCCTCCTTGCTCTCCGGGCAAAAGCTAAAGACCATCATGCAGCCATTTAAAGAGGAGTTAGAATTAGATCTTTGCCTTTGTTTTCTCTTATCAGCCTCCAGACCTCCTTTTAAAACAGATCCAAGTGGGGAAGCTTCCCAATAAAGAGTAAACCCATCACAGTCTCATCAGGAAGTGAAAGCCGACACAAGGCACCCCTTTCCAAGCATTTAAAGACTCCCCCAAAGAAGCCAGGCACCCTCTTCTGCGCCCCAGTTTCCTGTCTAACTCAATACAAGCATTTCACCACATTAAGCACTTTCTATCACTTTCCATTAGCATTAGTGTTTCAATAACTTTTATTTTTCTTACATGATCTGAAAGCTGCTGATATGATTATCCCCTAATTGTATTATATTAACCAAAATAAATACTAATAGGGTGTGAACCTAACATAATGAGATAGGAAATTGTTATCTCAGACTCAGTGGAGGCCGGAGAGAAATCTGGTGGTTCGCTCAACAAGCACGTCCTAATGCCCTGGTGCCCTTAGCACTGAGACAACAAATGTCCTGTAATTTTCTTGTAATTTCCGAAGATTAATTTGGCCCTCAAATAGGAAGTAAACATTTTAGAGTCTGTGAATTCTTCCATCTCTCTAGTTCAACTTCATAGAAAGAATCCCTATCTCGAGATAACAGCAAGGGGAAAGATTCTTCCCCATGGCTCAGTGAACTAAAGTCCCAGGAATCCACCCAACCATATTGTTATGGTTTTGATACACGGACCCGCGTTCACCTTTGGGGCCTGGGCTCTCTTACACATCTGATGAATCAGATGCCTAGAATCCATTTGATAGGGAGGCTGGGCTCCTTTTCCCAAGGTCCCTGTGACTCTCCTGCTTAGGCGCCAAGCCAAAAATGTCAACATTTCTTTAAGTCATCAAACAAAATCCACGAAGGTGTGAATTAGACACTCTCATTAGGTCACAATAGCTCTGCACCTGACATGCATAGTCCCAATTGCTGGGCCACCTATAGGGTTATAGGATATTATGAAATTTCCATTTGTGATCATGCAGGATGCTATCAGTTCTGACTCACATTTGACTTCCTGTAGGTTCGCCCTGTCAAGTAAATAAGTTAATGTGTTTTAGAGAGTGCCTGACACATAGGAAGAGCTCCACAAGTGTTAGCAGTTATCACTGTTGATGATTAAGCAATGTGAATGCTAAACGTGATAAAAAAAAAAAACCTATCATGTTCTGAATTTATCATAAAGGAAATAAACAAGTCTAGCAAAAGAAGTGAAAGCAATATAATTTAATACATGCCGTAACTTTTTAAATTGTAAATATTTTTCTACATGTGATATGTCTATATGGATATATAAGTGATGTGTGTGTGTGTGTGTGTGTGTGTGTGTGTGTGTGTGTGTGTTTTACACAAGAGGTCTAATATAGTTGGTAAGTTACAACTGTCCTTGACTTTAACCATGACCAAGAATTGGTCTCCATTCCATGAAAATCATTTCTCCACCAAGCCTTCCAAAATCTACCACCATTTTCCTGATCCTCTTCATTCTTCTATTCTGAACTCAGTTCCTTCTAACAACAATCATAGGGCATTTTCAATAGGCCAGAAATCGCGCTAAGTGCTAGAGATGCAAAGAAGACCACAGACTTTCTGCTTGAGGTGGCTGACAGTCCAAGGCAGGCAGGCAGGCACGTTGACCCTCGGTTGTGAATTAAGGATGTAACAGCAAGGGACCAGCCGTGGACACAAGAACAGTTGTTTCTGCCTAGTGAGGGGGGATACTTCAGCACAGAGGAGACATTTGAACTGGATGTAGAGCACATTTTACCAACGTGTAGATTAAACACTAGTTTAAGGCTAGGAGGGAAGAGAAAGAGAGAAGAGAAAGAATGGTTCACCTTTGGTAGACTAACTAAAGAATTTGCTTTAAAAAAAATCACAAAGGTCATATTAAAATGTTTTCATAGCTGTGAAAGGGTAAAGGTCAATCCTTTGGGCCTGGAAAATGTTACATTGTCATTAGATCTTCAATGGTTGAGATGGGACGCTATAGGCAGAGCAACAGGAAGCAGAACCAGTGAGGAAGACGTGTAACAATGCAGGGGTGCTGGGACCTAGAAAAGCACGGAGCTGCCATGAGGCCACCCTCCTCTTTGAAGATCCAAAAGGAGTAGTTCCAGTCCACTTCCTGGAGAGCAAGCAGTCCTGCTTCCTGTGGCCGCCGCACCTTAGGCCTGGAGGCACTTGTGAAAATAAGGGAAACCAGAAACGGAGCTCGGACAACCACATAGCTGACCACCAGGAGACAACAGGGCCTTATTGCTGCAGTTCCTTCTCCTTCCTGCAAAATCCCAGGAAGCCCCTTCTTAGGGGCATCTCGGGCTCAGCTGTCATCGCATGAACAGGACTCAAAGGATGGGGGATGAGGATTCCTTAGCAGGAATCTCTAGCACTTTGCATCTCTAGCACTTAGCATTTCTGGTAATGTTTCACTTCATAACTTTTTTGTAAAAAAAATTATTTCTGGGTTTTTATCGTCACTATAGCTACGTGGGGCCCCTAAGCCTTCTTGACTTGAAGTGTCAGTTCGTAACCAACGATGACACTGACCACTTTTCTCTTCCACACTCGAGACAATCAGCTGAAGTCAGGTTGCAATGCGCACCCCCCCCCCCCGCCAGGAGGGGCAGAGGTTTTCTGTGCTGGGGTCCATTCTGTTTTGAGTCGGGCACAGAGGCATTCTCGGGTACTCAGAGTTCTTCTGGGTTCTAGCAGTCCTTTGGTTAATGTAGGTTGGAGGGGGTGAGAGGTCACAGCTAAATTCCCATCCAGCAGGTTTGACAGGTACATAGCATGTAGCAAGACTAAAAGCCCCAATTCCACTCCTTAATTAAAAACATTTTTCATTCCAAACCTATAAAAGGCAGATGTGCCGCATTCCCCCGACCACAGATCGCTGCTCTATATTGAGTTCTGCAGCTCCAATTCTTCTTTCCCAGGGCTTGGAAATATAAGGCCATCAAAGCACAGCGTAGCCAGGTTCCCTCCTCCACTTCCTCACCCCCTCCGCTTCCTCTTTTGCTGAGGAACACTCATTTCCATCCTTGCGGGGGTTACATGTGTAAGCCTCTTGTGACACCCCATTGCTGAAATGGAGTGGGACAAGAGCCGTCTTCCCAGGTAGACAGGAGGCAGTCCTGAAAGTTCATTGTTCTCAAATGCCTTTTAACCTGGATTGTAGAAAAATAACACAAAGTACCTTAGGCAGCAGTAGTTCTGATTTAATTGGCTGCTCTGACTGGGGATGACTCAGGTTCTCTCTAGCTCTGGCACCCAGAAGACGCTTCTTGGAAGACTTTACTGGCTTATGGTGAGTTCCTGCCTTCCACGACCCCTGCGCTTATCAAAGGTCTGCCATTATGGCACTCTGTTTGGTTCTATGGTTCAGAAAGTTGCAAATTAAGCCCAAGTGGGTAGCCACATGCCTGTAATCCTAGTATTCTGGAGACTAAGGAAGCAGGATCATGATTTTGGGATTAGCCTGGGTTGTAGAGGGAAACTTCATTTTTGATTTTTTTCCCCTGAAGAGCTGAATACATAACTCATAAATAATAGTATTTGTGGAAAGAAAAGTAAAGTAAATGAAAGGAGAAAAAAGGAAGGAAATAAGAAAGAAGTGGAAGCCGGAGAGAAAGAAGTTGCCAATTAAATTCAGAATTTGCTGTCCATGTTTATCAGTTGTTATACTTGCGGTCTTATGAGTCTCCCACTAACTGCCCATGCATGAAAGGATTGGTTCCCAGCCTGGAGAGCTATTGGAGGGTGTGGAATTCTTAATAGGTGGTCTGGTTAGAGGAAGCGAGATTGTTTGGGGCAATGGCGTCAAGAGGGGTGTGGTACCAGCCCCTTCTTTCTTTCCTTGATGGTTATCGGGGGAACATGAAGCTTTGCCTGTGTGTGCCCCTGCCATGTGTTCCCGCCGTGATGAGCCACACCTCAACAGAACCAAAGCAATAGGACCAGACAATCATGGACTGAAGTCTCTAAAACTGTGAGCCAAAAGCAATGTTTTTCTCATTTGAACATGAGTACCCCAGGTGGCGAACCCAGAAAAAGCAGCTGTCAGACTCGCTGTGGACAAAGAAAGAGAAGATCCTCGTGGTTGCTCAGCCGTCTTCAGAAAGCTACTCAAGCCTCCTTGGCTTTGCGTATTTCAGTGGTACCCTCTCTACTCAAGGACAGGAACACTAAGTCATCCTTCATCTCTGTTGCCAATGGGCACAGCCAATGCCCTCAATTCGATTATATCTTCAAGGTTGTTAGTACATGGGTGTGAGGGTTTCCATGGTGTAGTTTGGGTACTCAGCCTCTTTATAGACCGTCTCTTTCTGGGTTTCAACCAAAGGGTGTTATTAAATGTTTTAAAAGGAAAAAAAAGCCCTGCTTTTGTGAGTAATATCCAATATAATCAATAAACTTGAAAGAAAAGAGAGCCCAAAGCACCCACAAGACACTTTCAAGATTTAATTGTTCCACCGAATTTTAAGCAAGTAGTAGAGAGAAAGTAAATTGCATGAAACCAAATATTTTGCTCCAGGCTTCTAATTCATCTCACTTGCCAGTTCCCAGGGGCTAGTGCCAGCGCAGTAGAGCTGGGGACTTTCCAGTGCAGACAAGGATTGTACTTCATATGCCCTAAAGAGCCTCCCAGTCTCTTTGAAATGGGGATAGTTCATCAAAGTCTTGCTTGTCATGAAATTACTGGGATTCAAGGATGCAGCTGGCTGAGCAGGTTGAAAGACATTTTGCTAAATCAAAAGCACGCTTCCTTGTTAAAATTTAGCAATAAAAAAAACCAGAGGAGGGGTGGTGCTAGAGAGGTGTGAGTAAGGTATTTGCTGTGCAATTGTAAGGACCCAAGTTCGGATCTCCAGCACAGAGGGCAAAGCTTGGCATGGTGGCATGTATCTGTAACCCCCATGTTCAGGGAGTGGAAATTGGTTGACCCCAGGATCTCACTGGCCAGTTAGTTCAGTCAAGTTAGTAAACTGCAGGTAAGTGAGAGACTCTAACCCCCCAAAATAAGGTGGAGAGCAATAGAGGAAGACAGTCAAAGTTAACCTCTGTGCTCCAGATGTGCATGCACACACATACACACACACACACACACACACACACACACACACACACACACACACACACACGCATGCATGCACTTGTACACACACATGCACACTCACATGCACACACACACAATTTACACCTTACACATACACACAAATTAATTTTTTTTAAAAGAAATCATGGGAATGGTTCCAAGAAATAGGAAGGTTGTGGGAGATGAGAAAGTGGTACCCCAAAAGAAGAGTTGAATCCAGATGTCAGCAGGAACCAAACAGAGGTGGCCGTTGCCCCTGGCCATCACAGTCTAGAAGCCTCAGGATGTTTCTTGGATGCTGAGGGGAGCTGTTAATGAAGCATATCTGCTTCCTCCCAGCTAGGCCGCCCCCCCCCCCCCCGGGATAAGAGGAGCCCTCAGTTACCTGGGAAAGCCTGCCTGCCCTGAATAAGCCCCAAACACACAGACTGAGCACAGGCCACAATCCCTCCTGCCCCATCACTATGTAGAAGCCTCTGTCTCTCCTGGCCATTGCATGTTGTCTTTGGAAACATATTGTTGCCAGGAAGATTCAGAAAGGAAGAGGAGGTATAGGAGAGGGCAATGGGTGCTGGGTGCCCAAGAAGAGCGGGGAGCTGAGGTCAGTAGATTTGGCACAGCCTCTGAGCCTGAGAAATGTTCCCTTTCAAGCCTCAGGGAAGCAACCTACTCTCTCGAGGTCTCTGCTTCTTTCCCTGCAAACGAAAAAGCAATGGTAGTTCCTGCAACACGGAGTTCCTGTGGTGACTGAGGAAAAGTCATGTGAAAATTACCACTGGGGACACCTGTGGCACTTAGCAGGTGCTCATCAAATTATGTCTATTACTTTCACGACGACAATCGATAATTGTGGCCTAGAAGGCAGTGGCCTATAGAGGGAGCTTTCTGGACAAGGGATGGACGGTCTTGACTGTGTTAAAGGGGAGTACAAGTCTTGATGCCTGCCCGGAAAGGCTTCCAGGATTGGTGCGCATCCCCCCACACACCTCACTTACAGCTCTGTTCAATGGGGCTTTTTTGTGTCCAAACTTGGTCCTAGAGCCTTTCCAGAAGCTCAGTTCAAGAGAAGATTACAGCCGCAGTCCAACTCCCCGGGGATGCCAGATTTTCTATGGAAGAAAAATATTCTATGATATAGAAGAAAAAACCTAAAAACACATCAGAAAATGTTTGCACTAGGTGCCCAGAGAGCTGGCCATAGAAACAAAACTGTGTTTCTGACCAGTCCAACAAATACATTGCAGTTGCGTACAGTTAACATAGACTTCTGAAGTCATGTAGCAAATAGTCTTTAGTCCCAGCCCCAAGGTCCATACTGTAGGCCTTACACTGGCCACATACCCCAAACTGCCTGTGTGGTAATGGCGGGAGCGTGGGATTGGCATGGAATTAGAAGAGGAGATATTTGTGGAGTGTGTGGTAAGTATTCAAGAGGTGGCGCTTTGGGGGTTGCTGTTATTGCCAGAGTTCACCTCCTCTGTGCCCCACAAAGACCCACGTAATGAAGATTGGCCCCAACTCTGTGATCTTTTAGGGGGTGCCGGAACCTTTCAGAGGTGGGGCCTTGTGGAAGGAAGGTCACTGTGGGTGCTCTTTAAAGGGTAATGTGACCCCCAGCCTCTCCTTGACATTTATGTTTGCTTCATGGCTGCCATGAAGTAAACAGCTTCTTCTCCCGCGTGTTCTCACCATAATGTGCTGCCATCCCACTGGCCCAAATGATCAGAATCACAGAACCATGGACCAAAACCACCAGGTCACAATAGAACATTCTTCCAAATAAGCTCATCTCCTCAGGCGTTTTGTCACAGTGTTGAGACTTGGCTAACACTGTTCCTCCTCAACAGCACTGAGGTTGAGCCAGCCCATGTAAATAATCAAACTTCCAACTCTGATAAGAAGCAAAGCATCTAAGGAAGCCAGCCACCAGGCTAGCTCGGGCTTCCTTCTTTCTTACCTTAGAATTTAGCCTGGCCAGTTCGATGCCACAGCAGAAAGTTACACTTCAAAGTAAGGAACACCTCCATGTAGGGGGCTGAGGAAGCCCCAAGTGACCGTCCTGACGACCCCCTGAATGAATGTGTGTTGTTGACATGAGTACCATTGCCTCACACCCATGAAAATGTCTTCCCCTGATTAGGCTCAGAGGGACTGCAAAACCTTCCTGTGGTCTGAGTGCAAATGTTGAGGGTGAGTGCTGAAGATCTTTGTAGGAACTGTCAACCACAGCTTCCTCTTCCAGGATGACTGCACCCCAAGACTACTTCCCTACAGAGACCTCCTGAGACGATAATCTAGACGGGCCTCCTTGCCCAGCTGGGCACAGTAAACCTGCCTCCTCGGTTCAGCTGCATAAAATAAGCACGTCGAGTGTCCAGCTTGCTCTTGGTGGTGATACACGGCCCTCTGAACACACCAGGTCCCAGCTTTTCTGTCTGTGTGTCTGTCCTTTCTTTATTCTGCCTTCACCCCAGTTAGGTTTCCAGGACCGAGCCATGTAGGACACAGTGTTTCCAAACCAGAAATGAGTTGTTATGGTACAAAAGGTCAGGATGGGCTCCCAGAGAAGCTGCATTTAACTATAATTTGGTTGAGCACCCCTCTACACATGTGCACACACACACACACACACACACACACACACACACACACACACACACACACACACACACTCCCTGATCAATGCTAGGAACATGTCTCCCTTTCAGGTCTCATCTGCCCCTCCCCCCATGTCCTATTCTTGCTCTCACTGTGTTAACACTGAGGGTCCCAGCAGTGAGAGTCCAGTGCCACTGAACAGGGGGCTGCGAGTCATGATATAGTAACAAGGTCCGGGCCACAGCTAGGCTCGGGCAGTGTCTAGCTGTCAGCATCGAGCCAGGATCCACAAGGGACAGCAGAAAACACAGGGACAGGAAAGAGATGCCTCTACTCTGAGGTGGGCCAGGGTCATGTTACAGGAAAATGCATGCCAGGGGACCTGGAGGGTTTTGATACTAAAGTGAGACTTCTTCAAGCAAATTCCATAATCTGCTGGTGAAAGCAGACCAGGGATTGAGTTCCAGGGAGCCTCTCCACCACGGCTAGCTCTTTGTGATCCTAACTCTTTTTTTTTGGTTTGAGACAGGGTTTCTCTGTGTAGCTTTGCACCTTTCCTGGATCTCGCTCTGTAGACCATGCTGGCCTCGAACTCACAAAGATCCGCCTGCCCCTGCCTCCCAAGTGCTGGGATCAAAGCCGTGCGCCACCACTGCCCGGCGATCCTAACTCTTAACGGTGACCGTGAGTTTTGAACTGGCTTTTCAATTATCCAGCGCTCACTTGTAGGGGGACTGAGTTTCTTGCCCACCTGGGGAGGATGGCTGTGCTTGGCCAGCTTAATGAGGAGCCTCAGCTGGAGCCTGTGGCAAATGCACCCCCCAGGACCACCCTTTGGGCTCCGGCTGCCCTCCGCTGTCCCGCCATTTGTTCTGAGCGGCTGCTTCCTCTGTGCCCACCTCGCCTCTAACCTGTCCCCCAAGTGCCACCAGTAATTTTCCAGATCACTGAGGAACTGATGGCTTGTTTGTGTCACGCTATGTGTCCTTTCCACTCCTATTTTATTCCGTATCTCCCCGGACAACTAAAAAGGAGACACAGCCTAGGGGAGCCTTTCCAAGATATGGCTGTCCCTCTGGGTTTCCTTGTGGAACAATAACTGAGTCCAGGAGAGCCCTGTGGAGGGAGGGAGGGAGGGAGGGAGGTGCTGGGGCGGGGGGATGACTGGATGGGGTAGCGGGAGCCACCTGGGCCACTTCTCTGAGGATGAGAGTTGTTGTCTCAGCTGCGTGAAGAAGGAAGAAGGGTGTTTCTAGGCACCTGGCTCCCCTGCCCTTCACATCCAGAGCAACCAGCCTGCTCACTGGGGAGCTGGCCCTCTTTTCCACCTCCATGTTATTCCAGCCATAAATCCAAGTGACAAGCTTGAACTTTTCCCAATTGACATGTTTACAAGGGAAGTCCACATTTGACAGGAAAATTAAGCCTATCAATCACCTAACGAGCTCGCTAATGAATGGTTCTCTGATCTCTGGTAGCAGGATTATTGATTAGAGGTGAGCAGCCCCAGCCCCCTTCCCTGTCTCCACTCCCTTCCAAAATCCCCCACCCCAGCCAGATGTGGCTGCCCTCTGACCTCCCTCTGCCACCTTTGTCCCCCCCTCCCAAAGCTCGAGGAGGGTTCTGGTTCAGGGTTTATCGAGAGGTCAGCCCCCCTCCTGGCTCTGCTCTCTGACAGAACAAAGGAAGCAGATGCAGACTGGGCCCCCAGCACCCACCGGCATATGGAAGCTATCTCCTCCATCCCAGTAATTACCCAGGAGCTTGCTTGTTCAATGGCTTCGGTTTTTATTGCACAGAAACCAAGCTATTCCCCAACATAAAACATTTTAACGGTGTCTCCCTCCGGGGTTTCTGGGAGAGGTCCTGTCAGGTATAAAATGTGCAGAACCCCCCTGACAGCCCACAGGGGCAAGGGCTCCCCCCAATTAAAGGAGGGGGGGCAGCAGGAGCTGCCGAGATGCTGGAGGAAAAAAAAGGAGTCAGGGTCTCATCTCTTTTGGAGGGTCCCAGAGTGTTCACGGAGAACTTTCAGAAGTGTTAACACAGGCGAGCGGAAGAGCTAGAATTTTTTTTTAAAACATGCTAAGTCTCCCTGTGTTGCGTGTACACCGCCTAAGGTATGGGTCAGACACCAAAGATATCTAGAGTGACATTTTATGTAAGAATGGCTGACTAATAGATAATGAAAGACTCAGCAGTTATTATTCGCCAACTTAATAGAAATGATGCTTGGTTCTTCTCTGGGAAGCTGGGTCTCACAGGTTCACTGAAGGAAGTAAGGCAACAAGGGACTTGGAGGGCTTCTCCTCTGAGGCATGTTCTAGACCCCGGGAGTAGGCTGGCAGAGCCCTAAGTGACCCGAGAGGGTGTGTTTCTTTCTTAGTATTGCCATGGGACGTCACCACAAGCTGGGTGTTTTCTTCCGGGTCTAGGAGCTATAGGCTAAAATGGTGTCAGTACACCAGCTCTTTCCGGAGGCTCTTGGCCAGGCTTCTCTTACCCATCATCAGCTGCCCTATGGGCTCTTTGGCTGGAAGCTTCATCACCTCTGTCCCCACCTCCACATGGCCACCTCTTCTGTGTATCTTAGCCTCTTCCTAGGACTTAGATGTAGGGCCACAGTATCCACAATGACCTCGGCACTACTAATTACATATCCAAAGACCTTGCTTCCAAATAAGGTCATATTCTAAGAGTCTAGGCAGATACAACTCCCTTGAACTTAGTCCACAGAGAACACAGGGCCACCCCAAGCTTCTTGGTATTTGCTGTAGAAATGCTGCTGTAGAGGCCTTTCCAGTGGGAGAGAGTCCAAAGGCTGAGGAGTCAGGGGTGTGCCAGGGAAGACAGTAGAATTGTACTAAGGAAAATTGCAAATGCTTAAAAAAAAATATGAAGATGGCAATTTGAGTGTTTAAAATGTGCTCTGGGTAATTCCAAACAAATTTGAAAGCCATTTTCCGACCATAAAATCTTCTGGTCTAAATCAGCAAGTCCCAGGCAGGCCAGGTGCTCAGGCTGCAGATCCTCCAAGGCTGCCAAGGGCAGGCTTGGGAGTCACCTGATCATCTGCACATGAGTGATGGGCAGGGGGGGGGGGGTTCGTTCCTGCTCTGTTTTTCTGGGCTCCTACTCACCTCCCTGACCAAGGTGCTGTTACTTTGCATCCTTCACTGGGGCTCTTTCTATATGACACCTAGGTCACTGGAAACACAAAAATAATCAGCCATGGTATCCAAAAGCTTCTTTCTGCTTTTCATCCCCTTCTAGCCAAGAGAGAAAGGAATAAGAGAGAATCTAGTTCTAAATATCCCGAGTCTGGAGCCATGGAGACTTTTTCATCTGTCAGCATGAGACACCCAGAACACAAACACTGCAAAACTCACGGGCCACATGCTTCTAATCCTCACTTCAGACAGGCCTACCTTGTTGTGCTGGGGGGCCTGAGAAAAGGCTCGGAGCTGGGCAGACCCTCCTCAGAGCCCGAGGACACACAGTGTTCTATCTGAGTGAAAGACTGGTGTCGACCCAGAAATCTATTCAGTGACCTCTTATAAAGTAAAAGGGGTTTAAAGGGTTTGAGAGAAAGAGCAGTTTTGGCATTTAAGAGATCTGCTTTCTAAACACAGCCCCGCCATTGTGAACCAGCTGTGTGAGCAGAGGTCTCTATTTCCCATCTCCGAGCCTTCGAATCCTCGACGTCCATGGGAAGATGACAGCCCGCAGCATACGTCAGACACTGGCCAGAGAAGACCCTGACAAACAGACCGCCCCTCTCTCCTGTAGCTTGATGCGCCGGACGATGCACTTTGGGCATGTAAACCGTCTCCGGTTTTTGATGGGAAGAACGAAGGATCTGACAGCCGTGAAGGACTGATGACTGACTAAGAGTCACTTCCCGGCCTCTGCTGTGGGGACAGATTTCCTAGAACTCTCACCCACACACTCGCTTTTGTGAGCTGGACCATAGTCCACAAGCTTGGGATTGTTTTGTTTTGTTTTTTCGAGACAGGGTTTCCCTGTGTAGCTTTGCACCTTTCCCGGAACTCTCTCTGTAGTCCAGGCTGGCCTCGAACTCACAGAGATCCGCCTGCCTCGGCCTCCCGAGTGCTGGGATTAAAGGTGTGTGCCACCGCCGCCCCGCTATAAACTTGGGATTTAAGTAAGACTTGCTCTCTATTTATGTTTCCTCCACAGGGACTCAGAGGCCACGCCCCTGGCTTTGCATGTTTGCATCCCGTGGGTGTGGCTGATGGAGGATGCTCAGCATTAGAGGAAAGTTCTCTCACTTTCAGTGGTCCCCATGTGGGTCCTCCAGGATCCTTGCCGCCCCACCTCTGAGCTCAGGAGAAGGCTGGGAAAGCTGTTCCCGATGACCTGCAAGGCCTCCTTCATCGGTCCTCCAGACCTTATGCCTGTGCAGCCCCATGGCCTTTCCAGCTGCCTGTGCCGGCCTTAAAGCCTGAGCTCTGGTTTCCGGTTTGTTCTTGAGCCTTTCTGTCTCTACCTCACATCATGCGTCTGTTTCCAAAATGACCTT